TATAATCAATTATAAATTTAACTTCTCAATTATGATATACATACTTATAAACATCTAAACTTATTATCAAAGTATGAACTTAAGCATAAAACTTTAAGATAAGTAAATTACCTCCTTCTTGCCAAAATCGTAACTTGATCCTTCACTTCTTATTTCTTCACTTCTCCACAATTTTTACTACTTATCTCTCTCTCACTCTTATATATCTTTTGGTACTTATCTTTGGTGTGAGAACTCTGATTTTTAGGCCTCTATTTATAGGCACAAATTGGCAAGACATCATAATGGAGTGAAGAAATGACCAAAATAAACAATTTAAACTTATAAACTAAATTAATCATAAACTATTTTATGATTAACTTGTCTACACATCAAAACATAATTAATTATCAAAAATGGCCTCTGGTTGAGATCACAATCGGACTCTCAATGATCAAATGTGACTGTCGGCAACACGACTCGTGTGGCTCCACACGACTCGTGTGGCTATGTCACACGACTCGTGTGAAAAAGCCGAAGCTAACTTTCACCTCCTCATCCTCCCACACGACTCGTGTGCCTTGTCACACGACTCGTGTGGCTTATTTCACACGACTCGTGTGGCTTGTTCCTTGAAAAACTCTTAATTTCGAACTTATAACTGAATACTGAGTCTCGAAATTAATCAAATCTTGGAACAACTACTGATACTTTATTAATAACTGAGAGGGATATTACAAATTGGCCCTAAGTAGTGGGGTGTTGCAACTGGTATCCGAGCAACTTTTGTGCTTCTGAATACTTTAATGAGACAGAAAATTTCAGAAAAACCCGACCACACGACACTCACGCCCCGCCGACAACCAGGTAAGTGCTGTTGAAAATTTTCAAAGTTTATATAAGCAAATTGTACTAAGTCTATGCTCAATAGGATTCACATAATCCTAACTTTAGATGCTCAATTTAGTATAAGATTCCTAGAAGTATCAGACCTATCTCCCATCAAATTTCAGAACTCTTGTTCGAACTCTAGATTATCGAGTTATTTTTAGCAACTCGTCAAGAAATTGTGCCTTTTTCCAGAATTCAGCGTTTCTTTCTCAATTATGCTAAGTCTATCTCTCGTTCTGACCAAGTTATGCGGCTTATAATTCAGATGGCACGCTGTCCGAATCAGGCTCAGCGGGAGATGACTCAGGCAGAGGTAGTCGTCCAGTTCCGCGGCTACAATCCCGACAAGTTTACGGGACAAGGAGATCCCCGCCTAGTTGATGAGTGGATCCAGGGTCTCGAGGTTATCTTCGAGATTATCGAGTGCTCAGAGAGGCACAGCATCCTATGTGCCTAAGTTCATATGACGGGGGATGCCAGGCTATGGTGGAACTCTTACTGGGGCATGCGCCCTGGTGAGAAGGAGAACCTCACCTGGCAGCAGTTCAAGGAGATGCTGAGGGATAAGTATTACCATGATACCTACAAGGCTGAGATGAGTATGAGCCGGAGTTCATTCGTCTCGGGTCCTTCGTTCCCTATTTGGTGGACACCGAGGCAAAGAGGGCAAGATGCTTCCGTGATGGATTATTGCCAGCTATCCATCACCACGTAGCGAGATATGGTGTCCAGTCTTACGCCGACGTTGTCACCAAGGCCCAGGAGACATACGCCGGTCTCAGGATGGACCTGGTGCAGCCGTCAGTTCAGCCCCCAGCTCAGTATCAGGCATTGCCCCCGACTCAGCCAGCGCCTGGCCAGCAGGCGAAGCATAAGAACAAGAGGAAGTGGAAGGGTCAGCAGAATGACCGGAGGAACAGGCAGAGACAGCCACAGATTCCAGCATGTAGCACCTACGGACGCCCACACCGCGGAGACTGTCTTGCCGGACAGAACGTTTGCTACAACTGTCGGAGGCCCGGACATACCATCAAGAACTGTCCGGATAGGCAGCAGCAGCAGAGGCCGCTGACCAAGCGTCGCAACACGGTCAAAATATAATATTTATTTTCCTTAGCCGACTTCTACCAACTAGCAGTAGTAGTGAGCAAGGGTCGAACCCACAGGGAGTGTGGAATTTAATTGTAATTATTCTCTTTAATTGAAATCATGAAAATACTAATAAAAGAGGGGGGTTTTGGTATGAATTAATTAGCTACTTGAAATATGAATAATATAATGAAATCAAATGCAGCAAATAAAAATGATTATCAAATAAATGGGGAAATATCTAGTCCACGGTTCCGTCTACACCCTCGATTGACTCGTCTAATTAACTTTAGTATCAGATTTCGCTATTTCCTGGAATTACTAGCCCTAGGTAACGACACGGTCTATTACCCGAATTTTTCTTTATTTTTAATTTAACCGCGAGACGCTCGACGATTAAACCTGACTTTTTGTACAGTCCGGAAAAACGTTTTCAAGATTTAATACAATTAGCCGCTTTACGAATTAGAAAAAAAAGCTAGACTAATTAGTGAACTCAACCGCGTTCGTTCACTTAATTAGGCTGTGTTATTCCCGGTAGTTACCATCTTCCGGTTACCTCTTATGAATTAAACACAACAACAATTACGGATTGCAGGCCTAATTCAGATGTAGATATGAAAAGCCTAATCTAGGTGATCAATCTAAACAAGACTAACACATCATGGTGAATTATTCAAAATAACACAAGCAATTCCAAAAAGATATTCAAATTCTCAACCAAATAAATCAATCAAACATAGTCAATCGTAGGGTTTGACTTCCCCGGAACTAGAATAAAAAGACTACTCACTCATAGTGTTCAATAACATAATCATAATATTAATTACACGAGAAAAATAAACAAAGAAAAGAAAAGAATAAATCTTCTCTGTTCCAATTGCTTGCGATCAGTTTTTCTTCTCTGTCTGCGTTCAAGTCCCAGCCGCCATGTGCTTTGGAATAATGAATGAATAATCCCGTAGCCAAAGTCTCCTAATATATATATGTATCTCTTTTTTTTTCTTTTCCTTTTACTCTCTGGTCAACTATGGCAACTAATAATCAATTAGGCATTTGACTTAATCTCCATAATGAGTTCAGCAAACGTGGCCCACTTCTTCAAACACCAAATATGTAGGCCCAATTATATTAATTTCTCCAAGTCTTCTAATCGTAAATTGCGTGGGCCTGCTGCAGGAGTACGGGGCCTGCTGGTTCAGTACGGGACACCCCCATACTCACTGGAAACTCTTCTTCGACCTTCTTCCGAGCACCCACACCTCATCGTGCAACCAGAAATGGCTCAAAAAATACTGAAAATCACTCAAACACTCATCAAAGCACGAGAGTTGATCATAATATCAAATAAGTCGAAGAATGCATAAATGCGAGGAATTAAACGTGCACAATTACAACATTAGACCATTAATATAAGCACGATTTCCGACGAATCAAACCACCCCACACTTGAACGATGCTTGCCCTCAAGCATCAAGCAAAATTCGTCATATCAAATTGTAATCACACCCTTCCCTTCTCCTTTGCCAATTCAAAATCGTTTTGCACACAAGAAAACAAGTTATAGTGAAATCCTCATATACCGACATCAATGGCACATATTCTCAACAACCAATCAATATGAAATGCAACGAGGATCAACACATCTCACAAGGTTTGCTCAAACTCTCCAAGTGTATAGGCTAAAGATATATACACATAAGTGAACGCTCAAGTCACAACACAGAAAATCTTTACCATAAGCTTGCCATTGCATCACGTCCGACTATTCAAGAATGAACATAGATTCACAAACATCAAAGGGTTTATCACAAGGTTGTAATGTAGGGTATGGATAAAAACGGCTAGAGGTATTGACAAGCGAGAAGAATAATAAACGAACCAAAGCAATCGTGCAAATCCCATCCGAAAAGAGCTCAAAACTCAAACACACTACCCACAAGTGATAAAGAACTAACTATATCCCAAGCCAATCCAAGAATAAAAGGGACAATCACTCCACGGAAATCACTACAACTCCCAATTCCTAGTAATTTCAACTTATCTCATTATAGCACAATCATCAACCTCTCCATTTTTTTTAGATTTTTTTTTCTTTTTTTCTTATGACCTCTTTTCAGGTCCATTCATTTACCAACACTCAACACACATCTCCCTTTAACCAACCAACGACTTCAAATACACATCCTTCCTTCTAACGAATAACCCCTGCTCAGAACACACAATATCACAACACACAGCCCCCAATTAAACTCAAAACACGCAGCCCATTTACACACCCCGAACAAACAAGAACCTCTGCTCAAATTAGACAGGAATTTACACAATTGCTCAGTTCAAAGGTTCAAGTAAGATATCAACAAAAGGTCACATGGCATGTAATATGGCTATCATTCAAAGAAAAGGTTCAAGCTCAAGGGCTAACTAATGGAACTGAAACGGGGTTCGATTTAAAAGAAAAACAAGAAGAAAGGCCACACAAAAGGGTTAATCCTAAACACCCTTATCAATCATATGCATCCATATTCATCCAGAATCAAACATAAACGTGTATAACAAGGCAAGTTCTAGAAAGATCAACCAGTCGTGGCATCACACAATCAATAAAAGGAGCATTATAGTCAGTGTATGCTCATTGGCTCAAGCCTCACAACAAATAGGGACAAACTGAGATAATCCTCGTGCATTCGACTATTAACGATCATTGAAAACAATCAGCCAATCAATATGCAGCACACAAGGACTCCAAAAATTTTCGCACACACCAAAATTCTTCAAAAATTGGCATCACAGAGGAAATAAGCATAGTCACAAGAGATATACAAATAAACTTGACACTGTCGGGCAACATCGAGTACAACTCCATATAATGAACAGAGAAAACACACAACATAGACGCATAGACAGCAACCTCAAAATCAATTCCAACCCGCCTCACCCCACACTTAAAAATTTGCGTGGTCCTCAACGCCACAACACTAAGAATGCATAAAATAAAAGCAAAACAGAGAGAGTTTACGAACTTCCCTCGTTATAGGTAGCATCCTCGGGCGTTCGGCCGGGTGGTCAGTGGCCTCAGTGAGAAGGGACTGCCTCCTCAGGTGCTCCTGAATCCTCCGGTGAGGTGCGGGTACGTTTGTTGGCGATGGCCTGGCCAAGTGTGACGCGGACCGCATAGAGGAATGGTCCAGCGACTCGAAAGTGGACGGCGGCGTTGCGGTCGCTTATTTCGGCCCGGCCGACAGCAATGCGGTCGCCGATTTCAGTCCGACTGACGGCTTCTCAGGCGGTGTTTCTGACTCAGCCGGCGAGGTGATGTTGAATGGCTCAGATGACGCCGCGGATGGCTGCGATGTGGGCGGCGGTTGAGCTGGGGTTCGGTGGTGATGCGAGCTGCGATGGGTTAACCAGCGGGGAAAGCGGCGATGGAATCGCCAATTTGGAGTCGGGGTTTGATGGTGTCGGCGAGGGGTCTGCCGATTTCGAGGCCGATGGGGCGAGGTAGGTGGCGATGGGTTCGCTAATTGTGGCGGAGCGGGTGGCGGCGACGTTGACAGAACGTGGTTGGCCTTGGGTTCCGTTGACATCGCGGGCGGTTTGATTCCAGTGGCGACGCGAGGCGACCTCGATTTAAAAGCTGGCATCTTGATTCTCACCATTGTTCTCGAATTTCTTCGGATTTTCACGCGATTTTGCAGGTTGTCGTTTCTCCGCTCAATTCCCTCAGATTCCGATCGCCGGTGACGTTTGAGATGATTCTGGAAGTGGGTAAAGTGGCGACCACCCTTTGTACTCAAAATCTCACACCAAAGTCATGGCAATTGGGCTGCCACTTGCTGTTGGGCCCAAAATAAAATTGTCTCAAAGGTCCAATAGAATTTAGCAGGCCATTAAACTAAATTTTCTTCCCAACTGCCCACTTATTCGGTTTCATCCTAGTTTGGTTGTCCCGCTAAACTACATCCTCCCAGCAACACTTGCAATAATATCCTGCAGCACTAACACAAAGGAATAGACATAAGCAGGTAACAAGATGCATAAACAACAAGCAGAAAAACTACCATCTCGTGTATTAATTACTTATTCATTAAATACCCAATAAAAACTACTAAACTAATAATAATAATAATAATAATAATAATAATAATAATAATAATAATAATAATATTGGGTTGCCTCCCAATTAGCGCCCTTTTTTTAACGTCGTTGGCTCGACCGAATACCTCCCTTTTAAATTGACTGAGGAGCGTCTAACCGGGCTCGCTCTACTTCGTCAATTCCAAGTTCTCCATAATACGGCTTGAGCTTGTGGCCATTCACCTTGAACGTTTTTCCCGTCGTAGGGCTAAAAATTTCCACTGCTTCATGGCCAAACGCTTTCACAATGACAAAGGGGCCTATCCAACGAGAGCGTAGCTTGCCCGAGAATAATTTCAGCCGAGAGTCAAATAGTAGAACCTTTTCTCCCTCGACAAAATTCTTCCTCGAAATTTTTAAATCGTGGTAAGCCTTCGTCTTTTCCTTGAAAATCACCGAGTTCTCAAAGGCCTCGTTTCTTATCTCTTCGAGTTCTTGCAGCTGTAACTTCCTGTGGCCTCCCGCATCGTCGAAGTCAAGGTTACACTTCTTCACCGCCCACCAAGCTTTGTGTTGTAGCTCGACCGGCAAATGGCAGGGCTTTCCGAACACCAACCGGTATGGAGACATGCCGATGGGAGTTTTATAAGCCGTTCGGTACGCCCATAATGCATCCTCCAATTTAATGCTCCAATCCTTCCTGTTGGGATTCACCGTCTTCTCCAGGATGGACTTAACTTCTCTATTCAACACTTCGGCCTGACCACTCGTCTGAGGATGATAGGCAGTCGAAAGCCGGTGAACAACACCATATTTTCTAAACAACGCCTCCACTGTCTTGTTGCAAAAGTGTGTTCCTCGATCACTGATTATTGCCCGTGGGATCCCGAACCTAGAAAAAATGTTAGATTTAATGAAACCTGCAACAACCTTCGAATCATTAGTCCGGGTGGCCTTTGCTTCCACCCATTTCGAGACATAGTCCACAGCAAGCAAAATGTACTCATTACCAAACGAAGAAGGGAAAGGGCCCATGAAATCAATTCCCCAGACATCGAAAATTTCACAAATAATAATAGGGTTCTGGGGCATTTGATTCCTCTTAGAAATGTTACCTGTTCGTTGGCAATTATCACACGACTTACAAAATTCATGCGCGTCCCGAAAGAGTGTAGGCCAATAGAATCCACTCTCCAACACTTTATGAGCTGTCCGTCTACCTCCAAAATGACCTCCACATGCGTGTGAATGGCAGAACGAAAGAATGGAGTGGAACTCAGCTTCCGGGACACAACGCCTAATCACTTGGTCGGCACAATGCTTCCAACGGTACGGGTCGTCCCATACATAATACTTGGCGTCGCTCCTGAGCTTATCCTTCATCTGGCTCTTCATACCTGTAGGGTACACTTTAGCAACCAGATAATTTACAATATCAGCATACCAGGGTTCGGCAAAATCCGACGTCGCATTTCCTCGATCTTGTTGTCCAGCTGCAGCACAGTCGAGTACGGGGGTACCCTGTACTTCTGGGAAGGTACCCTGTATTACTGGGAGCTGCAAGTTTCCAATGCACAACAAATGCTCGTCTGGGAAGCTCTCTCGCAGCTGAAAGTCATCCGATGCATGTGTCACTCGGCTTAAATGGTCAGCCACAGCATTCTCAGCTCCCTTTTTGTCTTTGATCTCCACATCAAATTCTTGCAACAAGAGTATCCAACGAATGAGCCTCGGCTTTGCTTCCTTTTTCGCCAAAAGATGACGTAGTGCTGCATGATCAGAGAAAACAACTACTTTAGTTCCCAATATATATGAACGGAATTTTTCAAGAGCAAAAACCACCGCCAACAATTCTTTTTCAGTCGTGGTATAATTTTCTTGGGCGGGATTCAATGTCTTTGACGCATAATAAATCACATGTGGCGCCTTATCCACTCGTTGGCCTAACACTGCTCCTACAGCATAGTCACTTGCGTCACACATTATCTCGAACGGGAGATCCCATTTAGGTGGCTGGATGATTGGAGATGTGGTCAGCTTCTCCTTCAGTGAATCAAACGCCTTTTTGCAATCTTCGTCCACCCGGAATTCCACGTCTTTTTGCAGCAATGAGCACAAAGGAGCAGCTGTTTTCGAGAAATCCTTGATGAACTGACGATAAAACCCTGCATGGCCAAGAAAAGAACGCACTTCCCGTACACTCGCGGGGTAAGGCAAAGCAGTAATAATATCGACCTTAGACTTATCCACTTCAATACCTCGCTTAGAAACAATATCTCCCAAAACAATACCCTGTTCGACCATGAAATGACACTTTTCCCAATTAAGAACAAGATTCGTTTCAATACATCGTTTTAAGATTAAAGCAAGGTTCTCGAGGCCCGAATTAAATGACTCACCATAGACACTAAAATCATCTATAAATACCTCTATTATATTGCCGACGTACTCCGAAAAGATGCTCACCATGCACCTTTGAAACGTGGCAGGCGCGTTACACCGTCCGAATGGCATGCGTCTGTAAGCGAATGTCCCGAACGGGCAAGTAAATGTGGTCTTCTCCTGATCCTCGGGTGCAATGGGAATCTGAAAATAACCTGAATAGCCATCTAGAAAACAATAATAAGAATAGCCTGCCAATCTCTCCAACATTTGATCAATAAAAGGTAATGGAAAATGATCTTTGCGAGTCATCGCATTTAACTTACGATAGTCGATGCATACCCTCCACCCGGTCTGTACACGAGTGGGAACCAACTCACCTACCTGGTTCTCGACCACTGTCACTCCCGACTTCTTTGGAACCACTTGCGTCGGGCTCACCCACCGGCTATCAGAAATCGGATAAATGACTCCAACGTCCAGCAACTTGATAATTTCATTCTTCACCACCTCCATCATAGGAGGATTCAGCCGTCGCTGTGCCTCCCGAGATGGTTTAGTGTCCTCCTCGAGAAGGATACGGTGCATGCAAATGGACGGGCTTATCCCACGCAAATCGGCAATGGTCCATCCGATTGCTCGTTTGTAATTCTTCAATACTTCAATGAGGGCTGCCTCCTGGTCAGGTTCCAACTTCGATGACACTATCACTGGGAGTGTTCGATCATCTCCCAAATAAGCATACTTCAAGTGGCTCGGTAAGGATTTCAGTTCAAGCTCCGGTGCCTGCAAAGTAGAAGGAAGAATTTTCTTATCAGGCTCAGGTAACCGAATAAATTTTTTATCATGTTTTCCAAGATATGGTCTCAGTGTATTCAAGGCTGTTACGGCCTCATCAACAAGCTCCAGCTGGTAACAAAATTCGGTTTGATTGCTATCTCTCTGCAGTCCGAGTATGGGGTCGCCCTGTATTCCTGGGCAGGTACCCCGTACTGCTTGATTTTTGTCCAAACCTTGTGAAATCACAAGCTCCAGCTCATCTTCCCTGTAAGTGTCGAGAAACTCCTGTGCCAATGGTTCAATACAGTCAAGTAAATAAACACAATGGTCAGAGTCAGGAAATTTCATGGCATCAAAAATATTAAAACGAATAACATTGCCATCGAACTCCATTGTGAGAGTGCCTTCACGAACGTCGATTTTCGTTTGAGTGGTGTTCAAGAACGGCCGCCCTAACAAAATCGGGGTCGATATAGGAGTCCTGTCATTCATACTCAACACATAAAAGTCAGCGGGAAAAATAAGCTCATTAACCTTAACGAGAACATCCTCAATTACCCCATCCGGAAAAGTAGTACTTCGGTCGGCAAGTTGAATTACCACCCGAGTTTCTTTAAGAGGACCCAAATTTGAGGAATCAAAAATAGAGCGAGGCATAACATTAATTGATGCTCCCAAATCGAGCATGGCTCGCTCAATTTTTAAATTCCCTATTGTGCATGGAATCGAGAACATACCTGGGTCGCTTCTCTTTTGGGGCAAATCCTTCTGAAATATTGCCGAGACGTTCTCTCCCATCAGAACCTTCTCATTCCCTTGCAGCCTTCGCTTGTTGGTGCATAGGTCCTTCAAAAATTTGGCGTATCGAGGGACTTGCTTGATTGCATCAATGAGAGGAATATTGATCTCGACTTTCTTGAACACATCAAGAACCTGCTTCTCCGCGTCTTCCTTTGCTGCCCTTCGTACCCTGGATGGAAATGGTAGAGGTTCGGGTTTCAGTGGAGGGCAAATCGGACTGCCCATGCGTCTTTCATTCTCAGCAGACTGAGTACAGGGGGTCCCCGTATTCTGCTGCTCGGCCCCATATTCTGCTGACAGGCCCTCTTTTTCACTTTCACTCTTCTCGT